TGTAACGATATGCAAATCTCACAGTACGATATTTATTGTGATATTTTGAAGAGGCTAATATAGTTGTAGATGGGACACTTTTTTGCTTTTAAAATACCTTGACAACATTTTGGTGTGGATTATTACCTTCATAATCCCAAGAATTCAAGCAAAAACATATCTCTTTATGTTGTCTGCACTGAAATGAATCATGGGATATGTACTTCCCTATGTTTATAAGCTGTTGCTACTACAAAACCATGCATTTAAGCAAAGCAACTTGTGATTCGATATATCGTGACAGGCCACGATATTATTGAGACTTTTGACGTTACAGTATCATGATATTTGGTTATTGTTATATCCTTAGTAAATAATAGTAAATAAAGGCCTTTTAAGTATATTTTTTCTCGTGCGATTTTAACTTCCTTGGAGTTCCTGGATTTTGTGTTTATAGTCTATTATTAAATCAGGGTTTAAGGTTAAGTTTAAGCAAGTATCGGTTACAGTAAAGGTTAAGATCAGTCTCCTGGAAATTAATATAAGCCTATGTTATGTCCCTAACAAGCATGGAAACCCAACATGTGCATGCGTGTGTGTGTGTATGTGTGTGTGTGTACATGCGTGTATACTGGCAGCTTGCGAGTGTCAATAGGGCAAAAGAGAGCGGCATTGATCACACATCCAAACGCTGTCAGCTCACTAATAATTAGGCTTTTCATTATCGACACAACAGGCAGCAATGAACTAGGCTCCAGGCTGTGCTCCTGCGCAAAGTCCTAATCTAATAATGATATTGGTTTTATCTTTTGTTTACCACATAAACAAAAGGCCAATTACTGTCTAAAAATATCCGTAAGCCATCGAATGACCTCAGGGTTTGATCACTGTCCGCTCCAAATGACTGGTCATGAAATCAGAAATGTAGCAGTGAACGTACGGCACAGCTTATACACATGTCTTGTTATCTTCTGGTTTAAGAAATAGGAAAAGTCAAGACTGTTGTCATAGTGATTGACTATTTATTAAAATGAAATATTATATCTTTTGAATTGGGGCAAGTCCTCACTATAAAACAGGAAGCTGAAATAGAACAGAATTACTGCTGCTATGGGGCCGTATGGAAAGAAAAAAATCAGTCAGGTCAGAAGATACATGACTGGAATCTATCTATATCTTTTTTTTTTTTTTTTTTACAAAATGAGAGTTAGACAAATAAGTTAAGTTACGTCATTTTAGACTTACAATTAAATAAACTTATGAACTTGGACACACACTATAGCTTTTATTACAAAACAAAACAAACAAAAACAAAAGATGATAAAATTCAGTGGTGAAAAATAGCAAAATATTTGTGTCAAATAAGGTGCAAATAGGACTATACATTTTCATTTTTCATTTTAATTATTTGTTTGAGCAAGGTAAAACAAAATCAACAACACTATCAAAAAAAAAAAAAAAAACAAGGATATGTGCAGGGAACTGGTGCTCAAAGGGAGTAGGGTGAAATTGAAAAAACTATAATGTCCTACCCCACACAAATGATAAGCAGAATACAAATATATATATATAGTACGTATAGTAAATAAATTCATTAATCAATTAAAATGTGCCTAGTATAAGAGATGGGGTAAGGAAAATACAGTGAGCAGATGAAAAAAGTGACTTTGACATAACATCGAGTTTATCTGTTACATAAACATGCTGTATGGTTGTATGGAGTATGTTATGAATGCTTATTATTTTTATTATGTTATGTTAGGATTTATTGAATCTAAACTTAAACTTATTACTCAAATAATAAAGTACAATATTAAAACCAGCTCTTTCTATTCTGGGCTTGAAGGACATTGGAGATATTGGAGATATTTCTTAGATCCCCCATTTCAGATACTGTATATCTGGGCCCAAAGAGCCGTTTGGGTTTCCTTGAAGTTGACAGACATACGATATAAAAGTCGTAAACCAGGACTGCAAATGCCATGAAATGAAACATAGATATTTCAGAGAAGCCAAGAGTTATGGATGCAGATTTGTGGACTGGGGGAAATATATTAAACTTATATTTTTCTGTTGGATGAAGCATGTTATAATTATGTGAATGTGGGTTTTGTTACCGAGCCTGGCACTACTGCATATTAATATTTTGCAGTGACATCGCGCTGGGGGTGTTCTGCGTGTATCTATATTGGCAGAATGTTAGTTATATGGTGACATAATGCACATATCAGCAAACACAGACAAAAAAGTTGTAAGACTGTCTGAAAATTTGTGATCAGTATGAGCATTCATGGTCCTGTTTCGGTGTTTGATTTTCAACAAAAAGGTGCATGTTTAGATCACAAATCATCTGACCTGTTGTAGTTCCAACCAATCAGGTCTTTCTAGTCAGATTGTGTTAAAATAAAACATAGATTAGAGCAGTGCCTCCAGTTAGCATCACACCCACAAGGAAGGTTGATGACTTCTGCTCCAAAGTATCAATAGTTGCAAGTTTTAGAAAAAAAAGGCAAACCAAAGAAAATATTTTAGTTTATTTTTTGCTAAAGCATGACAGACTGTGCCTTTAAATGTGGTTTGGGTGAATTTTAGACTCTGGCTCTGGGGACGCTGGTCAGAGTGGCCTCAATGATGGATGGATTAATTAAAAATAAATTAAAAGAGCAAATCATTTATTGCATCCTGGAAGCTGAGCGTAAAGAGTGAAGCAGCATAATATCAATAGAATTTAGTGAAATGGTGTTAGTTTTTGTTTTGTCAAAGCATGTTAAGAAATAGACACTTACATACACTATAATGTAATTGTGGTGCACTGCTGGAGGGTCCAACACCTTCTTGTCTCCATGGAAATATTTTTTGCCTTTATTATTTCACAATATGGAAATACTGTCATGGAGTTAATGATCAGATCTATGGAAAAGCAATCCTGATACGTAAGAATTCATGTTTTTCAAAGTGTTTTTGAGTTATAAAACACCTTTAACTGAAGAAATGTTAGGCAGATTTGCTTAATGCCCTACTGTGGAACATTCCATGTAATATAAATATATATATACATGTCCACAGAGAAAGGCATGTAGCAAACCAGTCACCTTAGAAGTTAGACAGTGCAACTTTAAGACACATTTGGCATTAGAGAAATTGCCTTTAAGAGGACCTGAGGTAAGACATGGAACAGAAAATGGCGCCGATCCAAATGACTTCTTAAAGAGGATTAATCTCTGAGCTTGAGTCTCAATGCTGTGTGATTGTTATAAAGATTTATCATTGTTTCTACATTACCTTTGACTGATTCAATTTAAGGCCTTCTCATTTGTTGCTGCCGCTGGATGCTCACCTCCAAACAAATGGAACTCATAAGTTTGAGTGTCACGAGATTGTCCTCAGTGAATCCCTAGACAACATAAAGAACCAGCGTGTGCTTAATTTTCTTCTGTATTATAGTTTGGATTTTTTGGATCTTGAATGATGTGGTAACCAATCAGTAACCAATCAGCCAGTTCATTCATTCACTGTTTGAATGCTGGCAATATTTGTTTGAGACTGATTTGGATAAAGCTGAGTTTACACAAACGATTTTAAAGGGACAGTCCAGAATTTTGGACATAGGGCCTCATTTCCTAGTGAGTCAAAGTGTTGGAGACGTGTGGAGACACTTTTTTAAATATTCCATCCAGTCCTTGTATTTGCAGAGGTCGTGGTGCTAGGCTAGTGCATGTCAATGGCCATAGTTTGCCTGCCACTAAAAACAGTCTTACTTACTCCACAAAACACCTGAAGCAAATCTATTATTACACCAGACTGTCGATGTGAATGTCTGTGTTGATAGAATAATTTTCGGAGTAAAACCAACCTTGCATTTGAAGGATTTATGTCTGAGCAGCAACAGCGACTTTTACTTCCTGACAGAAAGCTTGGCAGCGGTGGACTAATATCACCTAGCACCTATCTTACCCGCAAAGTAAAATTCTGCTGCTGCTGAGAAAATAGTCCCTGATCATGCGACGATTCATGGGATGCAATGTTAGTTTTATTTCAAACATTATTCTATCAACACAGACATTTACATTGACAGTCTGGTGTAATAATTGTTTTGCTTCGGGTGCTTTATGGAGTGGGTAAGACTTTTTGTGACTTATTTTTGGCCATTGACATGCACTAGTCTAGCACCAGCGACCTCTGCAAATACAAAGACTGAATGGAATATTTTAAAAAATGTCTCCACGCGTCTCCAACACTCTGGCTCACTAGGAAATGAAGCTCTATGTCCAAAATTCTGGACTGCCCCTTTAAGACATTTCAAATAATTCCCAAACTCGCACTGTGACTGAATCTCATGCGAAGCTCACAACAGAATATCATCGTCCAGTTTTATTGCAAATAAAGATCATTATGAGGGTAATTATATTTTTATTTTTTTACCATATCACATAATTTCTTCCTCCAAAGTCTGAAATCTGAAATCTTGATTTAAAACCCAAACAATAAGACAAGGCAAAATGTCAATTTAGCTTCAAATGACATTTTTTCCACCAGCTTTTGAAGGAACACTTGCTGAACTTGTCTGGACAAAGCCGACTGTTTTCAACCCAGACGACAGTGCTATTATAAACACCTATATAAGACATGTAAAAGCTGTAAATAATAGAACTGAACAGTGTGGACCTCTCAAATGAAGTTTCCTGGTTGTGTCCGTTTTGCCAGCCTCACTGTGAACCATGGGAGTGAGAAAGCAGGGCTGTTATAACATGTGTCCAGGGGCATGCTTTGGCTAAGTGAGTGCCACGGATATTTGTCAGGATACCAGGCATACGCAGCGTGTTTGTAACATGGTGACTAGCCCCGGTCTGAGCTCCGTTGGGGGGGGCTTTCCATGTGCTCTTCTCAGCTGCTGCGTCATAACAGTAAATAACACGGCACAGGGCAACGGGGCACTTTGGGGGGATTTCAGCGTGACTCAGGGGTTTGGTGACAGGGTGTTCACCTGTCTTTCTTTCTGGTGGTTCTGCACAGTCATGTAGGCCCTGTCCCAAATCACACGTACTTAAAGAATGTCACACTTTTACTTTGACGCCACAGGAATTTTATTTGTTTTATGTAGAATGTGGATGTGCGTATTTTGGGACTTGGTGGAGCGAGAGAGACTAAGGGAGGGTATGTTGATTTTACAATAGTGTTTGAATGATGTGACCCTATGTAATGTTTGTTTAATTTAACACTTTATAATAACTTATAATCTTAATTAATGAATAAAGACTTAATTCATAATAGTCTCTAAAAGGTTCTATATTACACAAAATTGACTCTTGTGAGCTTAAAGACATGTTAGAATGTTGTTACTTCATCAGAAACTTACCTGGAGTTGTGTTTTGTTTCATTCACACATGTTTGAATAATCTTTATCATTATTCTGTCTACATCTCCAAAGCTGAAAATGCTGCGTTCCACCTTGTGATGTCATGAAGTTGTAGTTTTCAAGTTAATACCTACTTTTTACTTTTGTTCAGTAGAGAATGGCAGTTCCAGGGCTGAAATTATCCAAATGTTTCTAGTGAAGGTGTTAGCCTGATTCATCAGTCAGTTTCACTTTGTGGAAACCGTCTGACCTCGAAGCATTAGGATTCATTCATTCGACAGTAGGCGGCTACTGTTTTTCATTTAACCAATCGCTGCTATTTGCTCGCGTATGTAATGCACCGCTAATGGAACTAACTGGTATATTAAGTTTTTCCCAAATCCCATAGGAAGAAGGGCAATAACGTCTTTCCCCTTGATAAAATTCACCAAACATTCTCTTTGCTCCAGCTTTGAATCCTCCATCTCGGGAATCGTTGCCAACACAGTATGGCTCTTCGCTGATTGGCTGGTGCCCGGACTCGCACTTCCGTGGTTCTTGCAAACCGTCTAGTGTATTCCAATTGAGGTGAGGCACTAGGTGGTGTCAGCCTGGCTATGAAGGTGTATGGAGTTTAAAAACAGAATGAAGCACTTCCCGTATTACCACATGTCATCACAAGGTGGAACAGAGTTTTCTGTTTGAGAAAAGAACTCAGCCTAAAAATGCAGGGTTTGTGTGTTAAATCTGTGAATGGAACAAAACACAACTTCACGTGTGTTAGTAATGAGGAAACACCATTATAATACTGATCAGAAAATAGTGCAATATGGGTGCTTCAAGTGCTCTATCGCCACCTAAATTCCACCAAATTCCAAAACGCATTCCTCTTTCTCAAAAATTTTCTGTGGTCACACTATTTGTCGGCCATCTTTAGACTCGCAGTGTGCTAAAGATGATGCGGGTCTTAAGTGTAAAATAAGACGGTAACTTCAACTAGAGTCCAGCCATAGTGAGCAGAGCAGGCCCCCTAAAGTCTATTTCTGTACCTTTCTGATTTGTTGAAAGCCCAAATATCAGCACTGAAGAGGAGTCAACACCCATTGGACTTCCTGAGTTTCCACGGTTACAGTTTAGATTGAACTTAATTGTTTGTTTCAAAAAGTAAACCTCATACCTTGCCATTAGTCTGGGCCATTTCAGAATAACTATGTGAGCATTTCCTTTGACGTTGGTCCATTAAGAGTCTGATTCAATAGAACAGCGCTTTCTGGATGTCATTATTAAGGTTATTGAGTTTGTTTGACGTTTAAGACTTCAGTTTGGGTATAAATTTTTTTTAACACAAGGCTAAAAATAATACTCGTTCATTTGTCTCTCTGTTTAGAATCTGATTTCAATTGGACAGGGCCTTTCAGGACTACAATTTAGGGCGGGGTACTATTTAAGCTTTGGAGAATACATATTGTGCCTGTGCCTGCTATATGGGCTGTATAGTTTTATCTACATTTGTGGATAATTAAGCTATAAGTTGGACTTTTTAAATCGCAATAGTATCCGTAAACGACTTATTAAAAGAAAAGAAAGTCTGCTGACACTTTTTTATTTTATTTGTACCAAAATGACTATGCGACGGTGCCAAATCCTACATGTATTATGATTAAGAAAAGAAATTTGGAGAAAAGGTTAAAAAACTGAAAAACAGCCCTACACTAATTATTAAAAATATTAATCATAATTTTTTTAATAAGGTACGAGTTCTTGTAACCTATTTTTCAAAGAGAGGTCTAAAAATAACTTCATTCGTTCATTTGTTGCTTTATACATGAATAATTTGGATTATTTTACATAACACATCAACAACAGTAATCGAAAACAATTTACAAATAGAAATTGACAGATATGTTTTTTTTCATATTCAATCCTGATTGTTTAGAAACCACAGAAACCAATTACCATATTTTTGGGTCGATATGTATGGCCGATTTTCGTAATTTTTCCCCAAATTCATTTAAATTCACTCCAAACTCACCCTCAATCTAAATTTACTAGTATCTGTCCATCTCTACTTACAATTAAGAAGATTTTCCTACTTTTGAGTTCAGTCTTGATATGTTCGTATGTGGGATCAGCGTCAATAAAGGTCTGTCTATTCATTCTACTTCCCATCTACTCTGTACAGTGAAACAATTTGAATAAGTCTTTGAAACCAATACTAAAAGCAAATATGTGAGTTTCCTGAAATATTTAACATTCAAAACCAAAAATCAACAAATTATTCATTGGAAAAACAAGAAAAAGCAACAATAATGTCAGAAGAAAAGTAACAGTACAGTTGACCTGGAATATATCTGTTCTGTTTTTGATTCTGTTGAACAAGAGTGAAAAACACCCCACGCCCACTGCACCGCACCCCAAAGTTCAACCCAAAACTGCAACTCAAACTGGTCTCATCTGGTTTCAGCTCCAACAATGATCTTGTGCTTTTGGAAATGTGTTTTTAGAGAGATTTGGGAGGAAAAAAAACATAACTAAAATAATCAGAAAACCCAAGATCTGATTTTTGGTGTGTGCTTACATGCCCAAGAGAAATCTGATCATCAAAAATAGTTAATTAGAGGATTGTTAGAGTAAATTTTGTATTTGGAGGACAATGTGAAGGCAATAAATCTACAAATAAAATAAAAGCATGTGTTCTTACTGTGAGTGGGCTTGCTTCTCCATAAACCTGACTTATTTGGCCTGGAAGAGGGCTTTAACCTGCTTGTTTCCATGGAGAATTTGTTCTTTTGGCTATAATTTTTTTTTTTCTTTTTTTTTTTTTTGTCTTTGCCACATGTGTTTGCCGTTTATTGCTTCTTTTTTTTTTTCTTGTCAGAACTGGCACAGGTGAGAACAAGCTGAGAAAAATCAGATAAAACTGTGTACATGACATTTGGATCATCTTAAACTCTAGAAACCAGATAAAGATAGATTTATTTTTGTGTTCCTGTAAACATGTGCACAGTCTTAAGTATGCACTGTGTCTTAATGACCTGTCTTTAGTAAGACCTTCCAGTAATGACTCCTTCCTGTCCTCCTCCTCCATCACAATAGTCACCACACTCAGACTCATCACGCTCATGTGGGCTGCTTCCTCTGGGCCTGTACTGAATGTGCTAATGTTCTGTAATGTTCTGTAATGTTCTATAATGTTCAGTCTGGATCTCTCTTCTGCCCTTCGAGCTGCTGTTTTAGAATAACACATTTACCACAACTGTGTTTTCCAACCGTAGTGTTAGGATAAATAACTAGGCTCAGCTATTTTGTATAATCATTTCTATAGTTATATAAAGGTTGTTTTTCTCAACAATAGGCTACTTGGAATGGTTTCAGATTTTAAAGAAACATTTATTTTAATTTTAATATTAAACCCCCTTTGTGGTTCATATATTCTTTGTGGACATCAATATTAGGGCTGTCCAGTATATTGAAATTGAATTGAAATCGCATTTTGAGTTGCTGCAATTATCCAAAAGATCACAATAAATAAAATAAAACATATTTTTATTGAACACTCACATGTGAACTAAATCCAATTTAAAAAAAAATGTGTTGCAAAACTAATCACAGTCACAGTAGGCCTAGGCAGATGGAAAGAGGGTGGTAATGGGAGTGAACCCCCTACACTTTTTGCCCCTTGAAAATCACTTCTCTACAATAATCACTAGGAACAAAAGCGCAGTGTTTTACTCAGTGCATCATACATACACACATATACATGCATATGCTCTACATTCCTCTGTTGGGTGCTTTAAGCAGATTGCGACTGGCCTCTTGCCAATCAGAGCTCGTCATCTCTTATCAGGGCTGGGCTGGGCTCACTCCTGACTCTGGAGAAGTGGATACTCATGAGAGGCAGAGGTGTGGAACAGATTTATTGGACACAATGTCAGGATCCTTTTTTCAATTAGCAACATATCAAGATTATATTCCTGGAGTTGTGTTTTGTTCCATTCACACATTTTTAACACACAAACTCTGCATATTTAGGCTGTGTTCTTCTCTCAAAAGGGAAACAATCTGTTTTTCGTTGTGATGTCATGTAGTAATACAGGAAGCGCTCCACTAACCCTAACCCTTAACTGTGTTTCTCTATACACCTTCACGATAACCCATTTTGATAATTTCGCCCGAGCCTTTCTGCGTGGAGTTTGGATGTCCTCCCCGTGTCTGGGAGGGTTTCCTCTGGGCACTCCGGTTTCCCCCATCAACCCAAAACATGCACCATAGGTTAAATCCTCCAGCTGAGGTCCTGACCAAGCCTAGTAACAAGATCATGGAGATAGGTCCTCGGGCACCGAATGTGCTGCCCACTGCTTCTGAAAGGATGGGTGAAATGCAGAGGAGAATTTCCCTACAGAGACAATAAAAAAGTACTACAAAAAAGTACTACAAAAGGTAAAAGGTAGCATTAACTACCACTTCATGACATTACAAGGCGAAACAAAGCATTATGTTTGGTGGATTTGAGGAGGTAACAGCATTCTAACATGGCTCAAATCTCTCAGAAGTCAATATATGAGCTTTAACATGTACAAAAAAGTATAATACTACATCACATGAGCAGTCAAAAGTGAAAGTGAAACAGCTGTGAGCAGGTTGTGACACTGTATTTTCATATCAACATCTGAAAGTGCGTTTGAATCTGCTCACTCTCATTTGTGGAACATTTAATTGAGCTTTCACATTGTTTACAGTTTTCTCTCTGCTCTCCGCTGCTGTGTCACTGTTATGATTCGTGTAACGGAGCAGACATCGGTTCACGGGAGCGCGTATA